TTTTTTATGGTTTAATTTTTATATTTGTTTCGATTTTTATGATTTTTTTTTTTTTTTTTTTTTTATTAAATAGATAATTAAAAAATACTTTTTTATATTATTAAACTTGAAAAAAATACATATAAATATTAAACAGTGAAATATTAAATATAAAATAAAAATATTAAGTAAAATGTGTATATAAATAAAATTTATTATTTAAACATATATACACACATACAGAGGTGAAACATTTTAAATATTACAGTTTGTAAATAAAAATTGAAAAATAAAAAATTGATAAGAAACAAATGAGTCCATGTATAAAATATGATTTTTGCAAAAGTAGTAAAAATAAGAAATGAAAAGTGTTTATAAAATATTTTTTTTATATTTTTTTTTTTCTGTTGTTCTATTATAATATTTTCTTAGTGTTTATCTAATTTCCTTTTGTCATTATTACGTCTTTTAGTGTTTTTAAAGGTAATATATAATGATTATACTAGATTAAAATAAAAGATTTAATAAAATACTAAGCAAAAACACATATATTGTAAATTTACTTTTTTTAAAATAATATATTACACATATACAAGGTACAATCTTCCTTCTTTAGAATAACTCTTTTTCTTTCATATACATAGCAAAGATAATATTATAAAAATTTTCTTTTAAGATTAAAATAAGTAAATAGTAATAGTTTCATTAAATAAAAATCTTATTTTTGGTACTGTTAATAATAAAAAAAAAAAAAAAAAAAAGGATACCCTTTTAATAATAAAAAATTAAATTTTATTTTCTAATACTTTTGATAAACCATATATACAATATAATTTTATTTCTCAAAAAAAATATAGAAAACGAAAAATGAAAAAAAAAAAAGTAATTTATTAATTATAATTTAAACTATATATAAAATAATAACAAATATTTAAAATATAATAAGTTATTAAATAAAATATATAGATAGTTAACTACTATAAAACATTACTATATATATTAAGACATTTTTTAAGATATATATTTTTGAACGTTTTAATTTAGGAAGTTAAAGTGTATCTTTTCATATATTAAAAAAAAAAAAAAAAAGAAGAAATTAATATATTTGTATGAAATTTATTGAAAGATAAAATTCTCATAAATGTTTGAATTATAACATTTTTATCAATTTATTTATCTAAAGACTTATTCCCTTTTAAACGAATAACCTTTATGTAAAAATTAAAAAAAAAATACACAATTAGAGAAAATAATAATAGATTGAAAGAAATGTTTTACACACATATTTTTCATAAAATAATTATAATATTCTCTCATAAATTTTTAAGAAATTGAATATTTTTATTATAAAGGATCTAATTATTTCGAGTTAGCTTTTCTTTCTTTTTTACAAATATGTTAGTTTTTATTTTATTTTTATAATTCATACTATACTATTTATAAGAAAATTAGTTTTTTTTTTTTTTTTTTGTATTTCACATTTTTCTTTATTACTATTTTTATAGATAAAAATTCAATAATATAATAAACAGATAAAATAAAAAAAAATTTTTTAATTAATAATTTAAAAAAAAAAAAAAAAATGAAAAAAAAAAACTATGTTTAATATAACAGCAACATTGTGTAGTAAAAAAAAATTTTTTTTTTTAAATTTTAATACACAAAGATAAATTACAATTTTTTAAAAATAGAATGAAAAAAATTATCTTTATTTTATTTTTAATTAGTGAGTTTTTTTTTTTTAGAATAAAAATAATACAAAAAATAAAAATAGAAAAAAATAAAATATTTTAGAAATAAAGTTTTAGAAAATTAAAATATCAAAAAGAAAAAAAAAAAAAAAATTCTTTTTTTCTTCAGTTGCTTCATAAAATAAATGAATGATGAGCTTATCTATTAAATATATAATAAAATATCGAAATATTTATTGTATATAATTGGTTGATGTATATCTATAAACAAAATATATAAATGTATTATACAATTTAACTTCAAATACAAAAATTTTACAGTTTTTGTATACCTTTGTTTTTTCTTTATTTTAAATATTAATAATTTATAATAGATGAACTAATCTTTTTAGTTAAAAATATTTCTATTATGCAAGTAACTATGAGATAAAGATTATTAAAATTATTGTATTTTTAATTTTTTATGTATATTTATATATATGTTTTTATATTTTTACTTATACAGTATGAATGAAAATGATAAATTAAAAAAAATTTTAGATGATAAAGAAGTGAATGATATTAAAGAGGAAGATACATATTTCGAAAAAAACATAAAAGAATACAAAAACATATCTAAAAAAAATTTTGAAATACTGAAATTTTTAAATAAACAAGAGTTGATATTATTAATTGATAAATTGAATAATGAAGACAAATTAAGCAAAATAATAGATGAAGAAATAAAAGATGATACTCTTGACATTCTTAAAAATGTTAATATTATTATTTATATTAGTTTATATAAATATATATATTTTCTTTATTTTATATTTATATATGTTATGTATTTAATATATTAAGACATTTATTACAATATAATGAGTTTTTTTGATTAAAATATGTATATATAATATTTTTATAGTTAATTAAATATACTTTTAATTTACTTATTTATGTAAATCAATTTTGAATTATGGTAATATTTTGATATCCATAATTTTAATTTTGTTTTATATATATATATATATATATATATTATTTAATTTTTTTTTTTATATAATAATTTTTTTTTTTTTTCTTTATGTATGTATATAGTATGAAAATGAACAATATGATACATTAAAATTAGATGAAAAAGATAAACCTGAAGAAGATGATAATGAAAATAATTATATAAAATTATGTAAGTTTATTCCATTAAGATTAACATATGAAGAACGACTTTATTTACGATTATTAGAAAGTGCATTAGAAGTAAGTGAGTACACAGACAAAATAGATGTAATACATAGTGGAAATAAAAGTAAGAAAATTATAAAAGAAATAAAAACGTTATGTTCTATATTATCTGGTTTAGTTATAGCGAATAATTATGAAAATGGACAAAAATTAATTCGTGATAGAGATTTTTTAAGCAATAGTAGCTTTTTTAGTTTTGTTTTTGAAATAGGAAGAAGATATAAAATTCTAAATCCAGACAGGATGAGAAGTAGTTATGGAAAATTAATGTACTTTTTAATGGATACAAGAAGAGAAGAAATATATGATTTATTATCATTTAATTGTGTATCACCTATAAAAACAATTTATGATTTACTAAAAGATAAAAAAAATGGATTTGATATTTTTCATGATAATTTAATTAAAACTGCTACTATGGAAATAAACGCAAAAGGAAGTAGAAGTGAAATACAAAAACAAATCAAACAAAAAGAAGAAGCAATAAAATATTTATCTAAGAAATATTCATGTAATAAAAATAATAAAAAAAGTATATTTAGAATAAACATACCAATTTTTAACATGCAAAATGCGGAAGGAGAAGATTCGAATAATTCAGAGTGTTTACAGTATTTAACCTCAGAAGAAATAGAAAGATGCTTATACAGTTTGTGTGATTATAATACACACATAAAGATGTTTTGTGAACCATGTGAAATAATGATAGATTATTTAAAAAATTATTATGATCCATATGAAAAAGATTCTGTATATTCCTTATCTATAGAAACAGGAAAACATGGAAGTAGGTTAACACATTCTCATAATAGACAATATATGTATGTATTACAAACCCTTCATCTGTGGAAAGAAATAGGAGAGCATATGTTTTTCTTATGGAGTTGTGCTGAGAGTGATATGCTTGATTTTAAAAATCCATACAGATTAATAGATACTGGTCAAGGATTAAATAGATTACAAAGTGGTCATAAAGTATTAAGTGTTATGAAGAAAATTTTGCATAACGTTCAGAAAAAACTAGGGGGATGGATTGGGTCAAGCATGATTCATATGGGAGATTCTAATATTCCTAACACTTTCATGTTTATTGATAAATACACACAAGTAAATTAAAAAAATATATTATAAAAAAATTAAGTATTTATATATACACGAAAAAAAAAAAAAAAAAAAAAAAAAAAATATTATTGACACAATATGTTTTTGTGTATATGAAAAATTTATAAATAATTTTGTATGATAAAGTTTTATATTTTTATATAAATTTTTGCATATATAAAATGGATAAAAAATTTACATAAATTTTTCATTTTACATGATTCATTTTTAAGGTCCCTAGAATATTAACACCAATAGTTTTATGTCTACAAAAAATAGATGAGTTATATAATTCTACTCCTGCAATGAAAAATTATATTAAAAGTGAATTTAATGGAGCTCATAATTTAAAGTAAAAAAAAGACAATAATAAAAGAAAAAGAAGAAAAAAAAAAAAAAAAAAAAAAAATTAAAAATATATGTACAAGGTTGTTGATAGTTAAAATATCTTTAATGTAACTTGTAATTGAATTAATATTATATAATTAATCTGTGCTTGTTAATTTCAAATATTTTTTATAAATATTTTTTTTCATTTATATTTTTCATATATTTTTACTTTTAATTTTTTTTTTTATACTTTTGAAGAATGATGATAACTTGTGATTTTTTTCGTCATGGTTTTGATGGTAGTGGTGGTGATAATTTCAATGAAGCTGGAAGTTGTATCGATGGACGATTAACATCAGCTTGGAATTGGTGTTCAAAAATTGAAAAGAAGAAATTTTTTCCTATATTTTTATTAACTGGTTTTGTTGGATTTGATGGATCTTTTTAAAATAATATTTATAAAAAAAAATTTTTTTTTCAACATTTTAACTTTTATCTCATTGTATCTTTTTAATATTTTCATATATTTTAAATATTATACCTTTTTATATTTATTTATTTCTTTTATGTTTTTCTTTTTTTGTATTTATATTTTATATATTCTTCTATATACATAAATATGTTTTATAAAATGTATTAAAAAAAATACTTGTGTATAAAAAATGAAAGTTTCTATCCGATTTGTATGTTCATGCTCATGTTCATTTTTTTTTTTTTTTTTTTTTTTTTTTTTTAATTTAAAAAAAAATTGTTTATATATTATAGAAATAAAAAAATAGAACTGATAGTAAAATATGAAAAAAAAAAAAAAAAAAAAAAAAA